CGGGGAGGTTGCTGTCCTGCAGACAAGGTGCTTCGTATTCCCGGAGACGGGGCTGTCCACTGCCCTGTGCACCTTCACCCTACCCCAGAGAAAGAGCGGGGCAAAGATGCTGATGGCGTTGGAGACCGCTGGGAAAAGCCCAGCCCAAGGCACAGGGGCTTTAGAGGCAGAGTGATTTACACTTGTCCCCAGCGTTAAGTTCTAGTTTGGTCTCCCTGGGACTCCCAGTTGCCAGTGCTCTTGACAGCTTTCCCCTGCAGTGGAAATGAAAACCAGATGAAAAACCTCCTCCTGCCGCATGCATCTTGCCTGGGGGCAGGCGTAGCTGGCTGGCCCCGCGCCGCAGCGGGGAGGCTCCGCAGCGGATCAGATCCGCCTTCGCTAGCTGCCGCCGGTCACTGCTGCCGGGGGGGAAATACTAAGCCCATTTCACGGTGGTGGGAGTGCAGGGGTGAAAAGAACAGTGAGAAGCTGCGTGGCAACAGCCCATGGGGCCTGAAAGGGAACTTTCCCATGCGTGTGTACTGCAAGACCTGCAGTTAAGCCGCGACGCTGTACGGCAGGCACACCAGGCTTGGCTAAAGCCTCGCCGTGTCCTCTTCCTTGCTGCTCCCTAGGCTCTCGCTTCTGTTTCGGGCTTCTATAAATAACCACCATGCTGTAAAAGTCTTTCCAAAGCCTGGAGCCTAACTAGCTGCTTCCCCAGCCAGCTCAGGCCCTCCTGGAAGCAGAGCAACGGGGGTCCTGGCGAGCAGGTTGCCCCACAGGCCCGCGTGCCCAGCAAGCGAAGAGAGGGGCTGTCCTGGGCCACCCGCCACGCCCGGCCCTGCCAGCCGCGGGGGTGTCGCTGGTGGCCCAGTGAGCAAGATGGTGCGTGTTTGCAGGACCTGCGATAACAGCGGGAACGAGGCAGTGATAGCACTATTTCGAGCCGTAAGGTTTTATTTCGAACAAAGACGTTGGAGGAACAGCACGCTTCTGGTCACGGTGCTGACCGTGTTAGCCATGGATCTTAAGAGGCATCATACTTTTCCTGAATAAA